AACAAAGTTAAGTATATATAATATTTTAAAAATTAATTGAACTTTATAATTTTGTTGTCAATAAATATTGAAACATTAGTTTTATTCTTTATGTACAAACCTACAGCAAATAAGCATTATTAAAAAGACTACAACAGCCTATCGCCTGCTGGGACACTGAACAGGATTCTGCTAAACTAGCCTAGAATACTGATCCACAGAAACTGAAAGACAATAAATTCATGTTGTCTGAGATGTCAATGTATGTTTAAGAGACAATAATTTTCCTAATTTTTCACATAGAAATAAAAATACTTACATACTAAAATATTAAGCTTATTTCTTATTCCACAAAAGACAAAAAATTACCTGAAAATACAGTAATTATGAAGACTTTTGTCTTTTTAAAACTTTCCTTGTACAATGAAATGCATTAATAGTTCTTCGTAGCATGAAAAGAAGATGTGGTAAATTCGCATTATTTACCTGAAATAGTTTTGTGGCAAAATTCTGATATCCACCCCAGTTTTGATATCCAAAGGAACAGGAGTGAAGCAAATAAACGATGGATCAAAACTTATCTTTGGTTTTTGTATCTCTCCAATCAGAGATAAAGTTCTATAGTCAAATAGATTATCATTTAAGCGTATAGGAACATCACCTAAGTATGAAATAGGCTCACCTATGAAAACAATAAGTTCTTTAGTTTAATTTACATACAAAAATGAATATAGCTCAAATATTATTATTAAAATGTACTATAATGTTCAGTGGAGCAGAATAGTTTACTGAGGGCAGTTCCTTCTACAGAACAATTTAAGATAAAATAAAAGTATTATGGAGAAAAATACCTTCAAGTGTACCATGTCTAGAGATGGGGCAAATTTTTTATTTTTTTTTAAGATGGGGCTACAAGGGAGACCCTGTCTCAAATATATATATATATATAGTGTGTATGTATATATAAATACATATATATCCTATAGAATAAGTGTAGTTTAATAAATATAATGTTATTAGCATTATTTTGGAGGCCAAAATTAAAATAATAAAGTTCACAGATGAAAAAGCTTTGAGACTTATTAAAATGTGAACTTTGAAAAGGTTGTACTGACATTATTTCTCAGCCTGACATTCCAAGAAAAAGACAGAGTGGCTGAATGTGTATAAAAACAAAGACCTAACTATAAGCTACATGCTGCCTAGCAGAAATTCATTTCACTATTAAAATCAAGCACAGATTTATAGTCAAATATTATAAAGAGATACACAGCAAATGGAATCCAAAAGAGTAGGGACTATTATCGGATAAATTGAACGATAATTCTCAAATTGTAAAATGAGAAAAGAAGGTGTTAAATATTAATAGCGGGAGAAATTCTTCAAAAATATACAAAAATATAAATATGCATGTGCCCATTACCAGAACATCAAAATAAATAATCAGCTAGTAATAAATCTGATGAGAGAGTATAATGCAACAATAGTGGATAGCATCATTATACCCATTTAAGAATGCATTCCCATTTAAAAAAGCAACCAAAAAAAAAAAAAAAGGACTATCAGGAAGTAACTAAAATTTAGAGTACATAACTTTAACATCCATATATACAATATTTCATCCAACAGTAACAATTTGCATAGTCTTCTCATGTGCACATGGAACATTCTCCTCTTGGTCTAGGCCACAGACAAAAATTTTAACAAATTAACAAATTTCAAAAGACTAAATTTATCTCAAGTATCCCTTCCTATCACAATGTTATAAAGACCAAATTTAATAACAGAAGAAACTTTGAAAGTCATAAATATGTGATTTAAAATACATGATTTTGGATCTCTGTGAGTTCAAGGCCAGCCTGGTCTACATAGTGAGTCCCAGGCCAGCTGGGGCTACAGGGAGAACCCTGTCTCAGTGTGAAAATCACAAGGAAATAAATTTGACCAACAACCACTGTATTTAGAAAAAGACTCAAATCTCTTTTTCAAAACATATTTTGGAGCTGGAGAGATGACTCAGCGATTAAGAACACTGATTGTCAGTCCCAGGGGATCCGACACCCTCTTCTGGCCTCCGCACACATTTCACAAACATGGTACATTTGCATACATGCAGGCAGAAAAACACACATACACATTAAAGAAATAAATAAAAATAAATAAAATAAAATAAATAAATTTTTAAAATTTAAAAAGAAAATATATTCAAGAAGATAATTTATCTATTCTTCAAGGGATTAGAAAAATTAAAAAAAATGTTTATAGAAATGAAGAAAATAGTAAATATTACAATAATTGTGGATAAAGCAGGTACTGAGGAGGTGGGTAAGTGTTTGGCAAACAGACACCTGTGACAGGGAAGTAGAAACTAGATAGGAGAAGGTAACAAAAAGGATGAGGGGCAGAGCAGTAGGGGAGATGAGGAGGGAGAATAACCTACTAAAACATACTTTATTTCAAAATGTCTAATACTTTGTGTGCTGGTGAAAAAATACAAAAATAATTTTTACAAATGTCACAGCAGAAACAAATAAACTAGAAAAATAAGAGTATCAATGAAACAAAGAGTTGCTTTTAATATGACACTATTCACAGACAATGCTAGACTCATTTAACCAGAATAAGAAAATAGTAGAAAATTACTTACGTGGACAAAAATGTATGGAAATAGTATATTTTTCATCTGGTTTCAAACTCCCAATCAGTGCAGTAAATTTGAATATGCCACTTTTGAAAAGTTTATCAATTTTACAAATATCGAAAGACCAGTAAACAGTTTTTTTGGAAATATTATGTAACATAAGATCCTGTTCATACATAGACATGAAAAAAATTTTACTTAGTAAATGCTGTATAAAATTAGGAGTATTAACAGAGGGATTTGATGTACATCTTCATGTAATAAAATGACAAATATGTAAACACAGATCAAATGATTTTTAGTTGATGTTAGTTAAAAAAAAGGAATACATGTTCAGAGTGTTTAACAACTATGAAAAGTATACAGAAAATTGAGACTGAGTTACTACAAAATATGAACACAGCTTAATTAACGAACAAGGATGCAGAGAACAAAACTCTCACATCCTTGGATAGTGCAAATATAAAATAGACCAGCTTCATTGAAAGGTACCCAGAAACTCAACAGTTTCTTATAGTGCTAATCATATAGTGACCATATCATTCTGAAGTTCTAATACTAATCATTAGTTTAAATAAACTGAAAATGAACATTAAAAATTATGGAATGCCCATAATAGCTTTCCTCCTATTCACAAAACTTGGAGAAAAAAAGTGAAAGATTTCTTGAAATAAAGGATAAGCATGTTAGAGAATATTGACACAATAAAATTTAGGTGAAATATTAATTCACATAAACATGGATAAATATTAAGTATACTTGTTGTAAGCAAAAGATATCATCCCGAAATGTATATTGTATAATTATGCCATTGTAGAAATGCAACATCACATAGGTGGAAAACAAGAAGCTGTTGCTAAGTAATAATAATCTGGAGAACTTTGACTGCCGATAGTTCATACAGAATTTTTTTTACTATGATAAAATTGTTCTATAGAGCACTTAAGTAGTAGATTAATCTATGTATTTTCAAAACACAAAAGTTAGAATACTAGAAACAGACAAATATATGTGAAACAAAAAAAAAATCAATGAAGATATTGGGGAATACCAATATAAGATTTCAGACTATAATAAACTGCATCACAAATCCATGAACTAACCTCACTGGAGCTTTGAGATATGCTCATATAAATTAATTTTGGAAAAGTATGCTCTGAGTGAAAAATATAAAGCTAAAATCAAACAAAACTACACATAAACAATGAACAATGGTTTAATTGTCAAAGGTGTTAACAATTCTGATGGGCTGAAGGTTAGTGATTCTGAAAATTATTTACTTCTATACTGTATAAAATAAGTAAACAATACTTAATTAAAGAAAGATTTTTCATTGTCAGAGAAATGAGTTACCACAGGAAAAAAGGAGGGATGAAATTTAATTTGTGGTGCTGGATCGATCATTTTGACATAATTTTTAACTCATGTTTGAAAGATGGACAGGATAATCATACATGTCCCTGTGGGTTTCTACATGTGTATATTCATGGATTAGCATATATACAATCATTTCCTGATTTTATTTGCTGGAATAGCCAACAATACATGAGAATTAGTAATAATGAGAATATCTAATGACCATATAGTTCTGAAAAATTATATATAAGTAATATATAGTATTTGAATGCACATATGCTGTATAGCTTAAGTGTATGTATATATATATATATATGTGTGTGTGTGTGTTGTGTATATATATATATGTATATATTACTCTCTATAAAAGACAGGGTTGTTACTCCAAACAGCAAGAACATGTGGCAAAATTGCTGTTAAAAATAATTTGAACTTTTCATGCTTTCAAATAATTAACTTAGTGAAAACCGAAATTACAAAATGATAATTATGAAAGAGTTGCACGCCGTATCAATTATGAATACATACCTGAATTTTTGTGACGTCCTTATTATGATCCAGCTCATGCAATGGGACTTTAAATACCAACTTAGTGCTAGATAGTTTCAATGGTGGTCTCAATACTTTAAAGGGAAAGTAAAAATAATGGCAATGTTAATAGAAGTTCATGGGCACTACTTAACACATTTTCAAAGAGAAACAATAAGAAAATGAGGTCTGTTTCTGCTTTATATTCCAAGTAAAAAATAAAACTCCACTTAAAATAATTTTAAAGTAACTTGGTTTCCATATACTAAAAATTCATTTTTTTTTAATTTTTGTGGCAATGAATTACATGTAAAATCAAACAATAACCATAGAGGTGGTAAAAAAAAGAATAAAATAAACTCAATTTTGAAAAAGAAAGGACAAGTGGTATTAATATGATGCTCATATTAAACTTTGACTCATGAAGAAGTGAAGATGAAATATCACTGAAATTCAGGGAAAATAGTTGACATAAATTCTTTCAGTGAATAGCTACTCTATGGACATTATAATTAGGGAGTTCTGCAAAAATTATGCATGAGAAAGGTTACTTTTGCCTGCTTTTCTCTATGCATCTTTAAACTTCTGAGACATTTAAATTCTTTTTTTATTACTTTTGCACAATCAAATCTATTTGCGATAATGTTAAACCATTGATGTAAAATGTCATTTTCATTATAACTTTTCTTTATATGTACATGTATATATGACCAAACACAGTATTTCAAACCTTGGAAAATTCTTAGAATTTCATTAGGTATAAAAAAAAATCTGTGTAACGCAGGCATGGTGTTACATGCTTTTAATTCCAGTACGTGGGAGACATTTAAATTCTTAATGGAACCAATAGGGTCTCATAAATGTTGGGTCCACGGAAATAAACCATTTTCTAACTTATGTATGTTCTATTGTTACTTGAATTAATAGCTGCTTTGGCAGGGGTTTGGAATATGTGATCAATAAGAACACAATTGCAAACTGTGTTCACCACTGTGATACACTCAATGCTTGTCAAGACAAACCCTAAGAAAAACAAGTTATGGCAGATCCAAAGCAAGAATCACATGTAATATGGCTTTTTCCCTTTGCAAATTACCAATAATCCATAACTGGGAAAACTGCCAGCTTCTGTGTATACAAAACTACTAGCTTTAAAACAAAATTTTGTTTAAAGACATTCCGTTATAATCTGTAGAGCTTCATTTAATTTAAACAACAAGGTTATAGCCTCTGTGAAAGAGATTTCTGGAGAATCATTTTCTGAGGAAACTGAACCACAGTGATTAAAAGGCTCACAACCAAATATTTGAGACCACCCTCCCTAGAACAAAACATGAATCAGCATACTGAGTTCCAAACAAAAATACAATATTCAATGTAGAATCCAGAATTTTGAGAATAATTACTTAGCATATAAAAACTATCAGGAGTCAAAAGTATTTGAGGTAAAGACGAAAATGTCAAAGAAATAATGTTAAAGATAAAATGTAATTTTTCAATGAAAGAAACAGTAAGCCTATAAATATACAAAAAAATAAAAACTTAGAAAACATTAAGACAGTTTGAAAGTTTAAAATAGAAAAGAGCTTTTAAAAGGAGAAATGATCAGAATTCCATATTTATAACAACTCTTAGAGGAGCATAAATTTGGATATTTTTAAAAAGTTGGAAATCATATAGAATGGAGGTAGAGAGATGGTTCAACAGGTAACAGCACTGGCTACTCTTACAGAGGACCCTGGGTCAGTTCCCAACACCCACATGGAGGCTAACAACTAGTCTGCAACACCGCTTTCAGAAGATTAGATGCTCTTTTCTGGACTCTGTAGGTATGGTGTCCATACATGCATGCAGGCAAAATACTCATAAAATTTAATAAATCTAAAAGCAATGAAGAGCTTGTAAAACGTTCATACTAAACATGAAAATTTGTTATGAATAAATGAATTTATAGTGAAACAAAATCTACCAATTTCAGAAAAGGCATTAGAAAATGATCATATTCTCTTTTTAGCAGAGGACACCTTAGGGTAAAAAAAAACCTAAATTGCTAAAGGCGCCCTCCTAACCAAATGATTTGTAATTTTGGGTTTAAAATGAATGACATAAATTTACATTATGGGCATACTCTCTTAGTGAGGCATCACTTTCCAGCTGTCATGCAATTATTAACTCACTTGACATCATCACTATCTTATTACTGAGAGTTTAATTTAGTGTCAGGCAAAATATAAACTTCTTGAATGTCTTTTTGAAAAATATTTTATTTATTATTTTTATTTTATGTTTATGAGTGTATTGCCTGCATGTGTGTAAGTGCACCCATGTCAAGCAAAGCCGGAGGAGTCAGAAGAAGGCATTGGATTCTCCTGGAACTGGAATTACAGATGGTTGTTAGCTACCATGTGAGTGCTTGGAATTGAATCTGGATCCTTTGCAAGAGCAATCAATGCTCTTAACTACTGAGTCATTTCTCCGGGGTGAAACTTCTTGAATTTCAAGAAAAGTAATTAAGCTTATATAATAAATAGAAAAGCCAAAGATTTCCAAAAGTACAGTATTCAGACTACAGGCTTTCTTTTTTAATATTTAGAGAATATAAGTAACCCAAATATTTAATAAACTTAATGAGCTATGCATGAAGAAATTAGTACTGTATTAACAAATGCATTTGGAAAAAAAGTATTTCCATAAGTAAAACTGTCATTATTGGGCATTAGAAATGGAACTCAGTGTTCTCACCAAATGCGCCAGTCTGGTGATCCAGTCAGAACCAGCCCACTCCTTCCTCATCGTTCCCCTCTGGGACTAGGACAGGAAACCAGACTACCCTTATGAACTAGTCAGAACCCTGCACACTTCGTAGCTACCTTCCTGCTCCTGGACTAGAACAAGAACACAGTATTCTCCAGACCTGGACCACCAGTATTATTCCAATACCAAAATCAGGTAAAGACAAAACAAACCAATAAAAAAGAATGCAACAGAGAAATATGCTTAATGAACATAGATGCAAATTCCACAATAAAATACTAACAAAGCACACACAGACACACATCAAAAAGATCATCCATGATAATCAAGTTGGTTTGACTCCAGAGATACAGGAATGATTCAATATACATATGTCAATGAATGTAATAAATCATATACACAGATTTAAAGACAAAAATCACATGATGATATCAATAAATGCAAAAAAACATGCATTTGACAAAATCCAACATGGCTTCATGACAAAACTTCTAGATGAAATTTGTCCAGAAGGAACATACCTCATCATGATTAAGGCGATATACAAAAAACCCACAGCCAAAATCATTCCACATGTAAAAAAAAAAAAAAAACTCAGTGCCATTAAAATTAGGAGCAAGAAAAGGCGGTCCCCTACCCCCACTTCTTTTCAATATACTGCTTAAAAGCACCGATAGAATAATAAGACAAGAAAAGGAAATTAAATATATTAATTGGATGAAAAGAAAGCAAAGTATTCCTATTTGCAGATGGTATGACAAGAGAACACCAAAATAACACCAGAAAACTTTTAGAAATGGTCAATACTTTCAGCTAAGTGGCAGGATACAAAATAAATTAATAAAAACCACTGGTCTTTCTATATACCAGTAAGAAACAGCCAGATAAAGAAATCATAGAAATGCTCTCATTTATATAGCCTCGAAAAATAAAATAAAATGTCTAGGATTAAACCAAACAAAAGATACTAAAGATATCTACAATTAAAATTTAAACCTTTGAAGAAAGAGATTGAGGAATACCGTAGAAATAGAACTATATCCCACGCTCATGGATTGGTATAATTAATATTATGAAAATGACCACACTACCAAAAGCAATTTACAGATTTGATGTAATCCCAATCAAATTTCCCTGACATTCTTCAGAAAATAGAGTGCTACTCAAATTGTCCATCTGTATGCTAGTTCATCTGAACACAGTCCTTTGCTCTATAGCCTCGATGGTCCTGAACTTTGTTTCTGCAGTTCAACTCAACCCTGAGGCTTGGTTCAACTCCCACTCTGCAGCTTTATTCAGCAGCACCAGCAGCATCTCTCTAGCAGAACACCAACCCCCTGAAGAGACTATTTTTGCATCCCTATCACCTTCGGGTTTCTGTACCTCAGGCTTTGGCCTTTTTGATCCTGTAGAGCCATTCTATAGAACATATATATATATATATATATATATGAAAAAGTGCATGCGTGCATGTGAGTATGTTCTGTGTAATGTGTGATCTGAGAGTTAATATTAGTAGGTAAGATTGGTATAAAAGGATCTGTTTGCTTCTGTCACCTATCAAGGGAATCAGGACTACTACTAGATTGCTGACAATGGAACCATTGCATCATGTGAATTTATTATTATTCAATAAATTCTGCCATGTGGAAAGAGAAAAAAAGAAATAAAAAAATTCTTAAAATTTATATGGAACCACAAAAGACCCTGGAAAGGGAAAGAAATGCTGAGTAAAAAGAGCAATGTCAAAGGAATTATCACATCATAATTCACACTGAGTTAGGGAGCTGTAGTAATAAAAACAGCATGGTATTGTCACAAAAAAGACATGTAGATAAATGAAACAAAACAGAAATTCCAAACACAAGAAATTGCCACAGTCCTAGGTTGCCTCCCAGAACTAGAAGGTAAGACTCTATTGTTGAATACAGGATATTCTTCAGACATGGGACTTGGAGTAATGGAACTGGAAATGATCTGGAAGCCTCTTCCCTGAAGAAGACTATCTCTCATAGTATCAAATAATGCTATGTAAGCTGCTAAGGGAGAAAACAAATCTACGGTTCAACCTCAGCTGTAAAGTCTAATAACCACATGAATTAGTGGCACAGCAAACTATTTCTTTTGGTTCAGGTGTGGCACTTTTATCTAGGGGATAATCAACAGCTATCTAATTGGACTTAAAGCTCACTCAGTGGGAGGGTATTCAAGTGCAGTATTATAAACATAGCCAAATACACATGTCTGGTGAGGTCATAGATCCTCAAGAAAAATCTACTTTTGCCACATCCTTAGGCCAACATGATTTCTGACTTTAATCTAAATATGTATCCTCGTATTTACAGACAAGTCTACCTCTCAACCCTCATCAAAGAAGCTTCCTTCTGCAACACATGGAGACTAACACAGAATTCCAGAACTGGTCAAACAGAAAATAAGTTGCTATGAGTCACTTAACCCTAAGTGACACATCTTCAGTGCAATCGCTATGCTTAACATCAGTGCATCTCTACACTCACCAGAGAATTTTCCTTATGCAACAGATGGTGATCAACACAGAGACCCACAATTTGTCAATGTACAGAGAACAAGAAGCAACAGCGTTCTTACCCATGAATAGGACACCTATTTCAAACCTCTGGCCCCAAGGCTCAGGGATCATTGTGGAAGAGGATGAAGAAAGAGTGTAAGAGCCAGAGCAGTGAATGACCTCAAGGAAACACTCTTCCAGACAGCTGGTCATTTGCTCATATAAGCTCACAGGAATGATGACAGCATGCATAGGTCCTATGTAAGCTCAGTCAAGACAAGATCCCACCATAGACCCAGGGAAATGGGTAAGAAATTCCAACCCAATTTAAGAAACTTTTGGCAATTGATAGCTGCTGGGAGGGGGAAAGACAACATCTTGCAGGGATTGGACTATTGTTGGGCCAAGTAAATGGACCCACACTGAAGTACATATCGGGACACACATCAGACTTTATAGGCCATATTATATGTGCATATATATGAATACATTATATGAATCAGGGTTAGTGGCAGAGCTGCAGAAAGTGGAGGGTATCTAAGTACCATCAAATGACATTGTATGAAAATTGCAAAAAATGCAACTATAAAAGAGATTCTCTGCAAGCTTCCAAGGGAGAAAACCAATCAAAGATCTTACCAAGCTTTAAAGTCTATGAGCCACAACAATGAATGGCCTAGGAAACTATCTCTACTTGTGTCCTAATGGCACTTTTATCTTAGTGGTAATCTACAGTTATCTAATCAGACTTAAGGCTTTCTCAATGTGATGGAATCAGTGTGTGGTACAGCCAAGTACACATGGCTGGAGATGTCATAGACTCTAGATAAAAACACAGACCTGTCACTTCCCTAGACCAATGTAATTTCTTTCTATATTCTAAATACATATCCTCATATTTACAGACAAGTGTACTTCTCACCACTCATCAAAACTTCTTTTTCCAAAAGATGGAAGATATTATGAAGTTCCACAACTTGTTAAAGACAGAGAATAAGTGATTGTGGTGTGTCCAGCCCTAACAGACACATCTACAGTACAACCTCTATACCTAAGGCTAAGGGAATATCATGCAAGAGGAGGAAAAAGAATGTAAGAACCAGAGGGGCAAGAAACATTAGCTAATTACTGCATTCTGGACATGATAGGAAAGGTGAACCAATGAACTCTTCACTCTATAGTAGTCTAATGAGATCTGCATAATGACAAAACCAGTTGACATGGCAATGTGGACAGGCGGAATGTCATCCACCTCAAGATGAAGGGTTATAGGCAATGCCTAAGGAGTAAGAATCAGTTTTATCCAGGACTAGTACCCTGAGAAGTTATCTAATCTCATGTGCATAGCCTTAAGCACAGGTACACATGAGCACCACTAAATGGAATCAGTGCTATATATATGTATGTTTATAAGTGTATCTAATATATTAAAGTACAGATATATCATAGAAGAGGACAAGACATTGAGAGGGAGTAGGAGGACATGGGAGGAGTTGTTGGGGGACTCAGAAGGATGCAAAGACAATACTCATGTATGAAATTCTCAACATTAATTTTAAAAAGTCACTATTTTATTTCCCTTCATTAATTTATATTTCTGTTTCATTTTTAAACTGCCAACATGACACTAAATCTGCTTGTTTGTAGTCTTTCCTGTATGTTTCAGCATTAATCACTGACTTATGGACATATTTGTGCTATTAATCAATACGCCATCTAACAGACTTGTGATTTTATTCACAAAGAAACTGTATCATTATTTTCTTTTCTAATATTTAAATTTTTTCAAAATAAAGACCATTATCATTTTTTAACTTTTACATACTTCTGTATAAATATTTTGCCTACCCATACTGGTAGACTGCTTTGTAATACATACCAGTAGCTCGAACAAAACATGGAGGGATAAGTGGTGATGTTCTAGGCATCAACTTAATTTTCTTTGTCAAATATTCACAGTACAATTCTGAAGCTTTGAAGGAATTAATTTGAACTTGAAAGATAAAGTCATAAGTTGCTACCTGACAAACAAAAAAATGTATGTTATATTTATGAATGTTTATGCTTTGAAAAGCATTTCATCCACTTGATTCAGCAAAATAACATTTTTCAAAATAAAATTATCTTGTGACACTGAAAACATATTTACTTAAAAAAGGATCTGATTTATTATTCACTATGTCAGGGATAATTTTTGAAAACCAAAAAAGAGGCATTTTAAAAAAATAATTCCTATTCATTCAAAATGAATCACATATCAACCTATATGCCCTAAATTAACATTAGGAAGAAAATATAGAGAAAATTTTTTGTGATCCTAGGTTAGGTAAGGATTTCTTAAATACTGTAACAAATTTATCATTCAAAAAAGAGAAAATGATTAATCTGTATCATATAAAAGTTAAACTACCTGTCCTCATAAAAATAGACAAAGAAAATACAAAGATCAGTTGTTTAAAAGAAACAAGTAATGAAAATATGAATGAAAGCATAGAAAACAAATTTCAAAGAAGATATGCACACAGTGACATATTTGCACAATAAAGATGCTTTACATTAAACATCATACAAATGCATGTTGAAATCACAGGAGGTATCATTTCTCACCTACATAATTGCTTAAACAAAAGTAAAAATAGTAATGCTACTGAAGATATGTGCAAATTAACACACTTCATGGACATGCAAACATACTCATGAAAACGAGTATCCGTACTTCCTTTGGTAAATTTCTAGAGATGACAATGGAAATAAAATAGGTAAAAATATGAATATTTAAAACATGGAGAAGTAAGAAGAATATAGTCTTCTGACATACCAAAAGCACCCACCCCGCAAAATCATTACAACAAGGATGGTTTCAGAGGTACATACATCTAGTGCTGTACCCTTCTCAACAAGTCTATGCTGACCATTAAAGTAGTTTTAAAGAAAATGAACAGCAAATGTCAAAGAAATGATATTCTTTTAATTCTAGTGATTTTCAGTGAGTCATCCTTTGATATCTATGGGACACTGGTGTGTATGTTTGTAAGCAAGTGCTTGTCATGGTGCAAATAGGGAGGACAGAAAGCAACTTAAGAGAATCAGTCATCTTCTACTATGTGAGCTCTAGAGAGTCAATAAATTTCATCAGCCTTGGCAGCAAGAGTCCTTAGTTCACTGAGTCAAATTGGTAGCCCTGTTAAATCTAGACTACTTGTGATACTTAATATAATATTAGTGTTGTGTAGGTGGTTGTTCAGCTATATTGCTTAGGGAATAATAACAAGATATAACACATGTACAGGATCAATTCACATGCAAATGTTCCCAAATACCTTTAGTTTTGTGTTTGGCTAAATCTGCGCATGGAGAACCTGTGAGTACACCATGTATGTCGATGCATCACTTTTACTCCACCAAGGTATTTTTGCGTTCCATATGGACCTATATTTTAAGGTAAAATATAGGCAAGTAGTGCTTCCTCCTACTGTTGGAAGAAGAAGGGTTCCCAGCAGAAAAAGAGAATAGAAGAATAGGACATGGAAATGCAGAGAAAGAGAACTAGGAGTCTAAAACTCTGAATTGGCTTCTACTGGGATACTGCAATGACTCAAGAAATGGGAGGAGACACATACAGGGCTCCTCAGGAGATTGGAATTCAAAAAATACTCATCTTGGCAGAAGTGTGGTTAACTTACCAAATACAAAAGTCAAAGAAGTAGTCACTTTAAACAAAGACATGAGAAATCAAACCAGAGAAAAGGATTTGAGAAAGCATAACTTATAGGACTCTTCCAAGAGCCAGAAGAAAGGCTGTTATTATTATTATTATTATTATTATTATTGTTGTTGTTGTTGTTGTTGTTGTTGTTGTTGTTATTGTTATTGAACCAGGGTCTCCCTATAGCTCCAGCTGACCTGGAAGGCTATTACTTAAAAAAAAAAGTAAAAGAAAAAAAAAGTTATCTTGGTGAGTAAAGTGTGTTCCTGATAAAAAATTAACCATGAACAGACTCGCAAGAGAAAAAAAGAGAATTATAGAAATGTATGAGGTATCAAAGAACAGAAGAGAAAGATGTATGAGGGGCATCAGAGCTGAAAGAGATGAAACGATATTCCACGTCGAAATTCCACTTATGTAGAATGGCATAGGTAAAAAAGTGGACTGAGTATTGATGAGATCTGCCAGGTACTGAGTATTGAGTCATGGCTTGAACCCGAGTTGGGTTCCCAGCACCCACATGGCAGCTAACAACTGCCAGTAAGTCCTGTTTAAGGGAATCTGAAGCCATCTCTGGAATCCACTGTTACTGCACAACACATAAGTTCACTTACATACATGTAGGCAAAACACTCATAAACACAAATAAAAATAAATAGACCAAAAAAATTCTTTATAAAATGAATATCTGATACTGATGTTGATGATGTTGATGATGATGATAGTAATTTTCAATACAAACCCATGTATTCATTTCAGCCCCTTAAATTGTCTGCTTAGGAAGAATTTTGATTTCCAGAAATACACACATCTTTTGGAATTCACAAAGCTAATGTTTAGTTACTATTGCATGTATATGGATAGCCATATAAGATTTGTCCCCTCACCTCAAATCTTCACACACAATTTGTGTGAAGATATAATGAAGAGAATGTAAATTCAGAGTTTCCCTAAATTTCAGTTTTTTGTGATATGTCATTCTAAGCACTTTACCAAGCACTGCTATTCAAAAAGAGGAAAACTTCAAATTTAAAAAGGATAGTCTAGGGCTGGAGAGATGGCTCAGCAGTTAAGTGCATTGGCTGTTCTTGCAGGGGCTGCTCTTTCAGAATATGTGGGTTTGATTCCCAGCACCCACATGGTGGCTAACAACCATCTGCAACTCATACACACAAAATAGAAATAAGAATAAATAATAAAGTATATATATATATGGATATCCTATGGGGGCTGGGGATATAGCTAAGCAGTGAGGAACACCTGCTGTTCTTCCACAGGACATGGGTTCTATTCTCAGCTCCCATATGGCAGCTAGCAACCATTCATAACTCCATTCCAGCAGATACAACACTCTGTTCTGGTCTCTGTGAGGCATTGAACAGACACGGTGCACTTACATACATGCAGGCAAAACACACATACACATAAAATAAAAATAATGAATAAAACCAAAGGTACTTCAAGCTGGATGTGGTGGTGCACATCTTTAATCCTAGCTCTCAGAAGGCAGAGGCAAGAAGATGTCAACAAGGTGGAGGCCAGTCTAATCTACATAAGATAGTTCCAGGCAGAACTGCAGTCCTATGTATATTGGTTGCATCTCTAGAGGCATACTCAAACCATGAACCAGACACATCTAGCAATTATTTTAATAAATTAAAAGGCATACCTAGGCATACTCCCTATGTAGAAAGAGACCACTTACAAACAGAACTTAGGTGATATTTGATAGGTTCTACATTGTGTATTTTTTTATTTCAATTCTCTTCAGTCATATAATACGAGTAACAAAAAAGTGAACTTACTTCTACAGGAGAAAATGCTATTCCACATTCCACAGATGTTCTTTCTTCTACTTCTATAGCATATAAATAAGGAAATTCAGGATTTTTTAATTCTCCTATAAAAGTGGAAAAATTACATATAAAATATATGCAAATATATATATAATAGCATTATTTAATGTGAAAATGTGAACTCTAAAGGTGTCATTATCTATATAATTATTATTATTGTTGTTGTTATTATTGTTGAGAAGGTGCAGTTATTCTCAATACACAGTTTTTAATACCTAAAACTTATATCAAAATATGCAACAAAGGTTCAAGAAAAAAATGAGGAAAAAATCCATTAGAAAATCTTTCCATGGTTCAAAAAATATAGCAATATTCGGATGAGGGTAGAAAAGAAGAAAGAGGAAAGTCAAGTAAGTGACTAATCATAGGTCTCAAAACAGCTAAGATATGATTTACACAGTAAAGAGGAAAGCAGAGAAAACCCAGATCTTATATGGTACTTCAAATATTCACAAAGAAACATGCATTGTTTCAGTTACCCATCAGAGTGTTCTGATGAGACACTTGAAAATTACTTTCAGAAATATATATTCACATGAATCATTAGTATTAACTATGAACACTCTAATATGAAATATGCCTCTAATCATATTTTGCAGTGAGAATCAATGTAATAACTAAAAAGCAAACAATTTCACATTAGAAAAATCCTTGTTAAATTATAATCACTCCAGGAATAAACACATTAGGTAACTCCCACAGGAATTAGTTGCTAAATGATGAAATGGAAGCTGCAGTGGAACCTCTCTTCTTATCCAAAGAGTGTTTAAAACCCAATTTTCTCATTAAATGTACCTGATTCACCCAGGGAATACTAATTTTAATTTTCCCTCTCTGGAAATCAAATTCAATGACTTATTAAATCCTTACCATTCAAATTTTCTTACCCTTCATATGATAGGCAAACCATGAATGAAAGAAGGCCATTGATCAGGTACTATTACTAGAATTTTGTGGTGTTTGAAAAGATCCCATTACTATACAGCAAAGAACAGCTACAAGGAGTAGTCACATATCTCAAAAATGTAAAATAAGATAGATTAGCTAAACCAGTATTAAAGGTAAATTTGAAGTATACATAATGATACTGCTTATCAAATAAACACTCCTTACTGCCCTCCATGGTACATTTCTTTCTGTGATTATACTTTCACATTGTGTCCGTATACTCTAGTACAACCCTATTAAAATCCAACAGTTATAAATATGGTATTTGATCTTCAGGAGTTTATACTCTATTAGGGCAAAAAACACATACCCGGCCCCCTATACTAGCAAGCAGAATCTGGTTATTGATATAGTAAAATTTTACAATGGCCTAAGGCATCAAAATTAATGGCCAACTGGCCAGGAGTTTGAATAAAACTGCTAATTATCCACAGGACAGAGTAGGTTACAGCTAGTTTATAAAAGAGAATGAGATAGCAAAAAGAATGTAGAGAAAAGGACCTATCATTCTAGGAGAATGAAAGTTCAATGCTGTTGAGAAAATGTACTGTGTAATATGGCTCCAGCAGACAATCTATGGTGCCTGCAATGGAAAATAACTAGATAGACAAAGTGAAGTCATACATAAATGAATATCAATATTTCTTTTCCCATAAATCATTCTATGAAGTAATCTTAAAAGGGTTATGTTGAAAATCAATAAAATATGACATACAACCATTTATCTGTTAAAATATTTACAATAAGTGGGGCTGGAGACACGACCCAACAGATAAGAACACTAGCTGCTCTTGCAGATGATCCTGGATTGATTCTCAACACCCACATGGTGACTAACAATCATTTGTATCTCTAGTTACAGGGAAATCTAACTCCTGAAGTTCATTGGCATTGCATGATATGGATACAGTGTCATACATGGAAGCAATACTCTCATGCACTTAAAAATAAATGAAATATTTTTAAATAGGATAAGATGAATTTTCAGAACAGCTGAAGAAAACTCTTTATTGTTAATAGTTATTAAAATCAAATTATGACCTTCCTCACTTTGCACAGCCTCCTGCTGAAAAAGACTGCAATTGTAATAGGAAACCAGGAAATATTTTTAAGTGGAAGGCTGTGATCAAATCCTTGACTTAACAAGACTCTGGAAAAGATATAAGGCTAAAGTCCTGCCCGCAGAAAAGCTTTTAAAAGCTAATGGCATGTCCTTGAAGGGAGTTAGAATTAGAGTAAATGCAACTATAGAAAGAAGGGCGCTTTGCCAGGCAGCTTCTGAAGTGCAGCCAAGAGTTGATAATTCACTGAAACATGATGCCTGAGAGTATGTGAGCACTCAGAGTAAAGTGTTAGAAAGGTAAAAAGATCCACCATATGCATTGTAATAAATGAATATAGATTGCATGTATATTTCCAACAGCCTACTGTAATATTTTCCTAGGCAACTAAAGAGGCTCCTCCAAACATAGCACATCTGCTTAACCTTGATCAGACTCAGGCATCTATACTGTGAATTGACTCCCAGCCACCTGGCTCTCCAAGTCAAAAAGCAGAGTTGACTGGAAATTCCCTCCGCTTCCTTAATACAGCATCTGCTTCTTCATCAGGTCAGATAACTTCGCATTCCTCTACACTACACATTTGTATTTTTTTCCTTTGCTGGCAGCTTTATTGCCTGTGTCCAGAGCTCTCATCACATCTCACATGCATGGCTGCGATATCTCACTGGTCTCCCTATCTTTATCCCAGCACCTTCTCAACTCAGCCCCAGAAGGAAAATTAGTAAAGTGCAAGCCCATGCCATTACCTGGATATAAGTCCTATGGTGCTGTTTAATTTGTAAGATAAAAATGCACAAGTGGACAAAGGGCCCTTCATAACCTGAGCCACATCAGCCCTTCCAAATACTAATCACAGTAACTCATTTCTAGAACTTTATTCTCATTCCTTGACACATACATATAACTTATTTATCTTCTGTCCTTTAAGATATGAGTTAGGCATTGAAGTTTATAAGAAATATTTTCTTGTAACTGAGTCTGGGCTAGGCTCCTCGCAGTGCATGTTCCCATAACACAAGCAAAAAAATTATCGTTTAATATGGTCGTATTATACGGTAATAACTTGATTCTTTTACCTATCCTAACTCTTGTTATAGGTAGTCACTATTTGTCACGTATTCCAATATTCTTCTTTCTGACCTTTATTCTATCATGGCTTATTCCAAAACAAATGAACTACACTTCCTTTCTCTTTTCCCTTAGTTCAGTTCCATCTTAGAAAGCATAACCAAAATAGTCCAAGGCAGGAGGTGAGTGAAAGGTCATACATCTAACCCCTGACTCACTCACTGACTTGGTGAAGTGCTAAGCAATGGTTCTGTTCCATACTATCAACTGCCTCATTTTTCATAATTACATTTCCTATGAGATCGCCCATGTCTTCTTTCCTTTTTCTCCTTTAGGAATACAGGTCATGGCATCTTCCATCCGGTTTGATTTCTTTTATTCCTGGCCTAATCTCCTTAGATACTTTTTTGTATTCAACTCTATTTATTTGAAACTTCTGAGTGAGTCATCTGTTTGTGGCTGAGATTCTGATGGATAAAATTAGCATCCACTTCTTAAGGACAGAAATCTCTCAGTTACCTTCACAAACTCAATGTCTAATGATTAGCTTATAATTTGAAATTGTTGCACATTTACTGAAGAAGAAATAATTAAGCCAATTGGAGGGAAACTTTTAAGGGTTCAAAGAACAGATACTATAAGGTTTCTATCATAACTTCAGTTTTGCAATTATTTATAGCATGAAAGTAGCCATAAGCAATACACAAATATGTCTATATTCTAATAAAACTTTGTTTGTATGCAGATTCAGATCAGACTTGGTGTATAATATGTAGTTTGCCCTCTCCTGGAGTAAAACAATGATATGTACTCAGAGGTATGCATTTTGATTGAGCCAAATTTAACATAATTCCTAACACATGAGCACGCACATACGAGGGATCCCAGACTGCAAATAACAGTGAGCATTTAAAACCAGCAAATTTTCCCTTTGTTCCATATATTTATATAAGCTATACCATATTTTACTATATTTAGCTATATTTAGCCTAGCAATAAATATGGTTTTATGTCATATATTATCAAAGCGGTCTGATATCGTGTTAGGCATATTTGATGAAAAAAATGATGAACTATGGAGCATAAAGTAAACAAATACAGAATCATTAAAAATATTGAATAGAAGCTTCCATTGTCATAAATTTTCATGATTATACCTTAGACAATTTAAAACTGCTTTGCTTTACAATACTATTACAGCATAAATTATGTACCTGGATTTCCCTTAAAATTCATTGAGAAAAGTGGGAAGTCTTTCAGATTAAACTCCACTTTGGCATGTGTTACACCTCTGTTTTTTATTATAAATGGAATAATTTGCGTAGTGCCAATATAGGTGCCACTGAAATTAAATACATTCTAAAATTTAAAAAGAAATAATAATCAGAAAACAGAATAATGGCTTGTAAAAATGTATATAGACAGTTGTATTTTTACATTTGTTAAGAAAATTAACAGTAATGCAGAACTCTGAAAAACTTTATGACATTTGTTTATCCTCTTCCCCATTTCCTAAATGTAAATTACCAATACCCACTAATCTTGCCTCTCTTCTTTACCTCTTCCCTTATTGTAAGTATGTGAAAATAGCAAATACAAAATTACACTTAATTTCTAGATTTTTAATTTCTCAAATCCTTCTCTCAATAAATAAATCACAATTTAACTCCTCTTATATTTGATCCTCCCTTCTATCCATGGGACAATGTCCAAGTTCATGAGCAGTGCTCAAGATGTTGCCCAAGTCCTTTCCTGACTCATATTCTAGCTTCAACTAGCTTCTTTATCATCTCAGCTCTTAGTTCTGGATGCTGTGTGATTTGGCATTTCAAGCCAACACCATATATTTCACCTTTTTGTCTTCTAAATATGCTGTCCCTTCTATCAAGAAGTCCCTTTCTAACAAGTAATTTCCTGATAAATTTACACATCCATAAAAATGTCAGATAAGCCATAATTAGTCACACCGTGTTTCAGGACACCTTTCCTTATAGTTACTGACCCTGTTTCATCACAAAGTCTAATTATGTATCTGACTCTCCTAATGAAGATCAGGACATCTTTTTGTATCTTCAGCACCCATCTGATATGTACCATATAAATGCATGTGTTTGTGCTCCTGTGTGTATCTGTGTATGTATGGAATATCTACTGATTGTATATCTCACATAACAAGCATGTGCCTCTATCACAAACCTCTATAAATTACCCTCTTATAGAGTTACTAAAGATCAATTCCTAAGCACAAGTATCACAGAGATTATCAAAAGGGCAACATTATCCCAATATTGAGGAAATGACTACATAAAGGTCAAAAGTAAGCTATTTGTTCTATTTAAAATATCAACAAGTTGGATATAAGAAATTCGAAAAAATTTAAAAGGCATAACGTTTGATGTCTTCTAAATATAAAATACTATTCTTATTCCTTCCTTTACATTGTAAATGCTATATTATAGTTATTATTATTATTTCTGTAGGGTTTTGTTATGCAGCTCAGATTGGTCTCAAAGTTGTAATCCTTCTGCCTTAGTCTCATGAGTATTGGGATTAGAAGCATCCTCTACCACACTTGATAAGTAAATTATTTTTACAAAGTTAAATCTAAAATTAAAAATGATAGGATCCCATGCCAACTCAATTAAACAAGGGCCCATGGGGAGGAGAGAAATGGGTGGAAGTTTAGTACTAGACTGAGAACTATTGGAGACTGATTGATACTGGAGGGAGAGCATGCCCTACATACAATACCTAGATGGGCTGACTAGACTCCAGTGGACAAATTTACACTGAAGGACATCTGGGTACAAATTCTTGACTTGATGGGACTTAAGGTGTATGGCGGAATACATGAAGTGCAGTGGGGGGATGGGGGGCATGGATTAGGGGGCTAAATTTGATTAAGAACTCTTGGATATAACTACAAAGTATTGCAAACGTTATTTGGCTGACTAGGGACAAATAAAAGCCATCACAGTCGTAAATTAAGCAAACGAGCAAGTACTATACTTACAGGTATGATTTCAACATCTGCAATTTCAACAGATCCACAAATCCTGAGATCTATGACATTTGCATGACGAATAGCAACCTTATTGAACACAAGTATAAAATTTATAGAAATTGCATTAAAATATAATCTATACAGATGAAAAATACCTGGCACTTACATACCATTTTATAATTTAAATAAGAGCAATCATATATACATATATATATATATAAAACATATACGTATTTAGAAGTTTATTCTGGCCACTATCACTTTTTTTTCTTTTGCAGACCTGAATGTCCTTGGAAGAATGAGTGTTGAACCATTAGATGGCTTGGAGCTCCAATGTCACAATTGGTTACCATGCTGTACTTATACAGAATTCAGATGGCTTATGCATTTGACTGCAGACAACGCATATTTGACTAGAACTTATCATAACTCTCTGTACCACATTTTTTACTTATCTAATTACAACAGGTTACTCAAGGTAACAAAAATACAAGACACTGTGTGAAATATACATCTTTCCATAGAAATATAACAGTCCCAATAACTACAAATTTTATGAAAACATCAAATTTGCTGCAGAGGGGTAATATACAACTTAATGTATTATCTCCTTTTCAAATATTTCATAAGCAATGGCATAATTCTGTTAATAACCTTAATTTCAAAGAGAAAATTAACAATGCTTACAGAGGGCAAATATTTTATCTTTCCTTTGAGGTGACAAACTTTAATGAAATGTCAGTAAAACCTGAAACATGGCCTGCCTGAATGCATAACTGTTTCCAAGAAAATTAAAGTTGCATAATTCCTACGTAAGAGCAGCTATAGTTCTTCTGAATATATAAATATTTAAGTAAAATCTCTGAAACAAAAATAGCATTCTTTGACCCCCCCATCTAGATAAGAATAAAAGTAAAAAATCTATAATGAAATGTATATTACATCTCAGGAAAACAATGTAAACTATTTTCATTTTGCACAGAATCAGTGATACTGTTATGAACAAAGAAACCATGGAAGAATTTTTTCAAAGTTTTTTAAGAAATCTTTACACCAACTACATATTCTTTTTAAAGATATTTTATTCATTATACTACATAATTATCACATTTTCTTTAAGTAGCACATAATGCACAAAATACTGTGCTAAAGTACTATGCAGCACCACTTGATGATTCAGAAGAAACAATACACTGACATGTTCTTCATTGATTAACCACACGTAGATGTCTCAGCACCCATGGCTTTCTTTTGCTCATTTACTAGCATTCTTTATTCACTGAAGACTCCTGGCCTTGACAATTCATTTCTCATCCCAGGTCATCGACCCTTTGACCTTCTAATCTCCATGGAACTAGACTACATTTTGGGCAATATTAATTCTCATAAACATACAAGCTTTGAACCACTACATTCATTCACTTGTTTCTTTCCTACAGTCTCCTCTTAATCTTTCTCTTACTCAATTTCAGAGAACAGGTGCTAAATAACGTCATAAATCTATGTAAGCCTGTAATGGACAACCTTCACTCAATTAGCTCCTTCATTTGTCCCTATTTTCTCCTCCATTCACCTTCTTCCAAAATTTACTACTCCTCACTTAATGCATGTAATTCACTTATACTCATCTGGGAATTCACAGGGACATTATGCAAATTATTTCTCCTGAGATTTATCCTCAGTCTTAAGAATAAGATCATGTGAATCTGGCTGATCCATAACTTGAGGTGCATTTTACATGCATCTCCTCTCAAAGGTGTCCTTAATACTTCAGCCGTGCTTTGTCTTGTGTCCCGTAGAATGCTGCATTCCTCTATTATATTACTTATTTTTCAACATTTCAATTTTTTGTTGATATTGGTACATATTACTTCAGAATGAATACTCCTTGAAATTAAGAATCTCAATATCTTGTATAGTATAAATCACATAATTATGCTAAGTTTCCTAACTAATGCCATGTAAAAAAGCCATACATTTCTATGTGAACAGTTAGGATTTGTCAAAACTCAGATATGGCCAAAATTGTACAATTTGATGTGAAATTGCCTCATATTGATTGGCAGTTATCCATTTGAACTTAGTCACAACTTCAGCAGCCTATTTTCCCCAAAAGAATTTTCTGCAAATTCTCTAATCATTACTACCTAATTTCATTTTAGATAATTTAGATATGATTGCTATTTTTAGATCTCTAAGATCTGCATATTGAGTTAACTTAATTTCTATATATATGACAAAAATTCGCTTTTTCTTTTAATATTATATTTTTAAAAATCCATTGTAGAAAAAAATACTGAAAATATATCTTATACGTATGTAACAATTTGTGTAAAATGCTAATGCTTACATTATAAATATTATAAAACTTTACATATATATGTACACACACAAAAACACATAGACAGACATACCTTTGCTCTTGTATCAAATTTTTCTGCCACAGTGGGTGTACAGGATATATTAAGAACAGTTATTCCCCCAAATGGGATTATTCCTTCTGATGGAATAATGTTAATAGTAGGAAAAAGGCTTTGATCACAAACCTGCAATTGAAAATTCATAAAATGCTACAGTACCTTTTAAAATGTTTATTCAAAGGCTTTGCTGGGAAGCATCTACAGTACAAAATAGAAGATTACTGAGGATAGAACCTGAGGAGTTTTTTTACTAAAACTTGAACATATCAGATGCACAAATAATTTTAACTCTATCAAGCAGTTGCTTCCATTTAATGCCTGTTGCTGCCAAAATATTCCTGATAACAAAGTAAAAATGAAGAGGAAATGAAAAGCATATAACTAAACATGGATTGCAACATTAATTGGTAATATATATTTAAAACATTTTTCACTTTTGCACTTTTTTTCCTTTCCATACAATCAATTGACAGAAAGAACAAAGGAAGAAGAAGAAGAAATGGAAAGGTTAAGTAAGAGAGTGAGAGAAAAGATTATTTGGAAAACTGAAAGGACAAATTTGATGAAAGGTATTCAGGAAGTCCACATAGAATAACTTGAAAATCACCATAAGCACATTTATAAATAGTAAAGTATTAACTTCACAGTATCCTTGGTATCAAAATTGATTCAGATCTTAGCATGATCTGACACAAATATGAAATGACAAAAATCCAACATTACCTTGAAATAAGCATGGTTTTGCCCTATGTTGTGAAGAATAGCTTTCCTCCAAGTTGTTAAACCTTGAGAACTATTACTGAACAGTATCCTTGGCTCTAAAAATGTGACTTTGGTATGCCCAACCTAGCAATTAAAGGAAGAAAGGGATATACAGTTGAAATAATACTACGTAAAGTAAAGTGGCTGTTTTGCTTTCAAGAATAAGTGCAAATAGCATTCACCAGATCTGCCAAATATGTCTAAATATATGTAAACATATATTCATATATATAAAATTTTATGAATTAATCTAGTGTGGTCTGTTATAGCTGAAAATGTCTGAACATAAACAAAGAAATGAAGTCATCACATCTCAGTAGGGAAAAGAAGAAAGCAATGAAAGCTGTGATAAAAACGTATTTTCACCTCTGCAATATAACTCAAATTTTCAGTTTCATGGTGACTTTCAAAGTATAACATGTTATTAAATTTTCTGGATCACTGGAAAGGAAAATAGATTATAATATATAAACTGTTCTCCCTCAAGGAGCTGGTGGACTATAACTCAGTGGTAGAATGCCTGCCTAGCAGCTTACCATGTGTGAAGCCCTGTGTGTGATTTCCCAGTCACACAACACACACACACATACACACACACACACACACACACACACACACACAGCATATGTTCTCAAATTGTAGAAATCAGGCTGAGAATGTCTTTTATAGTGGAAGCAATTTCTAGACTAAGAAATGTATTTATTAATAGCTGAAAGGATCTTAGAGCTATCATTTATGCAACTATAAACAGTATATTACTGTGTACCAATGTACTATGCAAAACAGCAGAATTCAAAGGTTACCTATACATGGAAAACAATCTGTGAAATGTAATCACAAAGACATGCTTCTATCATAAATCTTCTTCATAGAGCTTAATATGCTGATAATGTGCACTTCGCCTACATGATAATATAGTATAGCAATAAAAACCTCTATTTTCTTCTTATATAAATTAATGATCTATTTCCTACTTAACTAGTACTATAATACTAACAACGTAATAGAGTAGAAAATATAATTTTCTATACTATATTACTTTTTGGTCTTTTTAACTGAGACAGGATCTCCCTGTAGCCCCAGCTGGTCTGGAACTCACCAGGCTGGCCTTGAACTCACAGAGATCTGCCTGCCTATGCTTCCTGAGTGCTGGGATTAAACATGTGGGTGACCACACCTGGATATGCTATACTCTTTTATGTGTTAATGAAATAATTCACTTTCTTTTTAAAAATATTTTATTTTTAATTATTTGTAGTGTGTGTGTGTGGGGGAATATGCACATAAGTGTAGGCCCCTATGGAGGCCAGAGGCATCTGATTCCTGAAGCTGGAGTTACAGGCAGCTCTAAGCTGCCTGAGGTGGGTGCTATAAATAGAACTTGAGTCTTCTGCAAGATTGGTGTGTGCTCTTAACCACTGAGCCATCTTTCTAGCTCAGAAATAATTTGCTTTCAAGTAACTCCCATGATGGTATTATATATAATAGAGGCTCTGGCAATGCAAAAAATTCTCAGACTTCTCAGTTAAGTTATTCATGTATAGTGGAAAAATGGCTCTATTAAATAGCTAATTATTACATTGGATAAGTCAACTGTTACATTAAATATATATTATATATACACATATATGTATACATGCACACATACAAACTTAGACTATGCAAACATATGTATACCAAGACAATTTATAGCATTCAAAAGATGTTCAAGAGAAATAATTACATGTGCAGTACACTTCAGTGTCAATGTATTTCCTCCACAGACTTGAAGAATAAATTCTCCCGTTTCTGCAGAACTAAAGCCTGGCTGCCAGGTAACTTCACATTCCAATGAGCAATACGCATCAACAGTGCCTACAGAGAACAGGAGAAAATAAGTCATACTCCACATTTTTTATGCTTCCTTCTGTTAACATTCAAATTATGAGCTGGCCTAAAAATGCAATGGTGTTATATAACAAATTAAGACTCTGTTCAAAGGATAGAGAAATGCTCAACGAACAGCCTTACAGAATTTCATTCAATTCTAAAACACAAACCTTAATTCATAACAAATCTATAACAAAAGATGCCAATGTTTTAAAAACACCGAGATGGAGCAATGGCTCAACAGTTAAGAGCACTGACTGCTCTTTCAGAGGACCTGGTTCGACTCCCAGCACCTACATGGAGGCTAACAACTGTAACTCCAGCACCAGGGGATCTGACACTCTCTTCCAACCTCTGTAGACACTGCACAACATGGATGCACTTAGATACATGCAGGCAATACACTCATACACATAAAATAAAAGTAATAAAATGATTTTTTTTAACTATTGAAAAATTTGTCATTGCAATAAGCACTAGGCCTAGAGATGGTTTGATATGTTAACAATGAAAAAGTCTTTTGTCATCTCTGAGAAAATTGCTCTCTCTAATATCCCAATATTCTGTAGTGACTTTCCAACAGGAATTATGAAACTTTCAGAGAAAATGAAGTACCATTATGAGAGACTTAAATAAATAAATAAATAAATAAATAAATAAATATACATACTCCTAGAGATGTAACTTCTAATGTAGATAAAAGTAATGAATGTGTCTTTCTTTAATTGAAATATTTTGAGAGCCCATATGATATCAGAAATATTAAGTATGAAATGCTGTAATTGTTAATTTCATCATTTTAACAGAAAATGGTGAATAAAAAGGCAAGGCTGGAGAGGTGGTTCAGTGGTTAAGAGCACTGACTGCTCTTGCAGAGGACCCGGGTTTGACTCCCAGCACCCACGTGGCAGCTACGTACCATTTTTAACACCAGTTCCAGGAGAATCTGAAGCCCTCTTCTGACCACTGCGGCACTGTAAAACATGAGTGCACTCACATACATGGAGGCAATACACTCATGCACATCAAACAAAAATGATAAAGAAAATATTTTTTAAATGCATAATGAGAGAAGGGCTGAGGAAAATCTGAAATACCCCAACAAATTAGAGGAAACTTCTTTATATTGCATTTCAGTTTTGACATGAAGGATAGATGATATGGAAATTTGCAGGAAGGCAAAGTTTAAGAGAAAGATATTTGACCAAAGGAAATGATGAATTTAATCAGGGAAAACAGCAAAAATTATGTGATGGAAAAATGACTTGGAAGTTATTCCTCAAGAAGACAGATGCTGCTGAAATGGGGACACAGGACACTAAAGGGGGGACATGAGTTACTGCTTAAAAGAATCTTTTTGCCAGGTGTGGTAGCCCACGCCCTTAATCCCAGTACATGGGGGGCAGAGATAGGCAGAGCTCTGTGAATTCGAGGTCAGCCTGGTCTACATAACAAGTTCCAGGTTAGCTGTGGGTACAAGGAGAACCTGTCTCAAATAATAATAATAATAATAATAATAATAATAACCATCATCATCATCATCATCATCTTTGTTTTTGGTAAACTTGACTTGCAGGTAATTCTGGTTTCTCTAATCTTAAAAGAAAAGAAGAAGATAAATAGTGCATACCTGTTTCTTTCATATTGTCCATACAGGGAGATGAAAACACCATTAAAGAATGGGTTTAGTGTAAGGTGAGATGATCAGAAAACACCCAGTGTCATTATTTCAATATTTTCAGGTGTTGACACTGTACTAAGCACATTAATTTATCAAAGAAAGAAGAAAGAGAGCTGTTCATTGAAGTGCTCAGCGTCTAGAGGTCTATCGAGATTACACTGACTGTAAGGAAAAAAAGGTCCTGATATAGAGGGTAAAGAACAGGGGTTTATCTTATATACTTGCAACCCAAGAGATGTGTATCCCAGAGAAGCCTTAACATATTGACACTGGCTTTAATATCAGTGCACTACCTAGCTGCATATACTACTTTTTTTTTCTTATAGCCTTCCTAACTATGGAAAGGCATCAAATAGCAAAGTAGCTGACAGAGCACAAATCCAAGGGTCAGTCTTCCTGGTTTGAATTTCATTCTTGTTCGCTAAGACTTTGCAGTTCATATAATCTCTCCATAACTTGGGTGTATCCTATATAAGATACGAATAATATGTATCTAATGAGAATTTCTGGGATGATTAAATAAACTGTAAGTTATATAACATATGCAAGTTACGTTTGAGTTCTACCATAAAGGAATTTGCTAGAACTGTGCAGAAAGAAATGCTTTTCATAGTGTAGAAGTCACCCCATTTTATTTCAGGTTGTGAAGAAAAAGAAGGAAGATTCAACGATGCAAAAAAATAAAAGGCTTATGAGAGGAGTGTGATAAAAAGGATCATCAATCCATGTTGAGGGATGAAAAAGGAGAAAATTTCCCTGCACTCAGCACAATGATTATATTTTACCAAGAATATTATGCATGTCAGGTAATAGGGAAGGACGTCGTATTGCTACTTTAAGTAAAGCAGGCTTTTGTATGACAGGCACTACATAGGGATTGAGAGAATTCAGAAAGATAGCCTTGAGGATGTAGCTCAGTGAAGAGATGAGAATATCAGAGTAAACGCATTGGAGGACTGAATGAGGGTACTGGCAGGGAAAAGGGTGAGAAAAATAAGCAGAAGCATAAATAAAACATATCGAAAATCAAATTAGAAGTGAAGTATGTCTCAGAAAACATCAGCCCAGTCTCACTATTTCCCTGTTACATTGTTTGTCATCTAAACACAAAGTCAAATAAGATCAATGTCTCAGAATTAAAGGACACACATTTTAATAGAACATTTTCATGTCACTTTAGAAAAAGGCAGGAAGGCATATGACTAAATATAGTATTTGAGATATAAAATCAAAACAGTATAAAAACATGAATGGTGAGAAGTCATAATCTATTCATGTAGAGAGGCAAAAATATATAAAATTGAGTAATAACTGCAATGAATATTCTGAGAGAAATTTTTAAAATTCATGTATTTAATACAAATAATAGATGCTTTCATAAGTACTGTATAAAATGTTTGGCATACTGTAGTGTTTTATTTTTAAATAGAATTTAAAATAATAATGATACTATGCATGTGAATATTTTCTTTGGAATTAAACCATCTTTGCATTTTTGATAGCATAATGGTTACTATGTCTGAAAACATAAAAGGTGTTATGGACAACTCGAAGAAAATAAAAGTAAATATCAAAATATAACCTTTACAATTATTTCTACATTGTGCTAAGTCACTACAGCTGATAAAAAGCTTAAACTGCCCTATCATTCAGTTTAACCTTATTAAAAGGAAAGTTCTTTTTCTACTTTTTAAATTTATCAGTACCTCAAGCTATCTATACAAATTCAAATTCAGTGAATCAAATTTAATATCTAAGATTGCTTTTATAACATTCTGTTATGAACATTTTTTAAAATGTTAGTTGTATTAATCACTAACTACTACTTCATGGACCCTTCTAAAAAAATTAAAATGTAGGAAATTATAAGTCATTGCAAATCTTCTCACAATTATCATTCTCAAACTACGAAATAATGACTTTATCAGTTACTGTGATGGTTAATTTTATGTACTGATTTGTCATATGAGGGACTCTAGTTGTATTGTGAAACATTAACCTAGATATTGCTTTAATAAAATTCAGATGTGATTAAATTACTAGATCTAAGAATAATTGGAAAAGATCGCATATATCTTAGCTATACAATAAGCTAACTTGCTATAAGTAACTATGGTATGGTGGTTATACAGGCAAATGGATATGCACACATTCCCTAATGTCAGTGGGTCCTGCTCAGTAAATTCAAGACCTCAGAAGCCTTGGAATCCCTAAAGGAAAATTAATCTTGCTTCTAGAATGCCTTTGATCGAAAGATTACAGCATCACTTCTTCCCTGGGTATCTAGCCTCCAATCATGACTTGTAAACTTCTGACTTTCTAACCCACATAACTATGTTAAGAACTGACATCTCCATTTTAATATCTTACTGTGTGTTTCTCTGTAGAATCTTAACACAAAATCCATATTTTCAAATCATACTTACATATACTTAAAAAATTACCCATAAGAGAAATCTCTATTTCTATTCTGTACTACAAGTACACATTACAAACTCAATAATTAATGCCTGAATACATGAATAAATAAATGTCTAAATAAAATAAACTATTACCTTTAGCCGGATGAATGGCAAATGCAATTCCTCTTAGTGCACTAACTGGTTTCCATCCAAACTGGGCAGAACAATTCAGTTGATTATATAGCCTTACTGTCCCCCTAAAACAGGTTTTTAATGAGAAGGTTTGTGGTTTCAATACAATTTCATTAGCAGACAGCTCAAGTTTGACAGGTAGGATGACAGCCATCACCAGGATATGTCCACCAGGTATGTTGTTGATTCTAAAGGTAAATGATCTGTAACATAGTAGAAACCTCCAAATTTAACCAATAATGGCCATTTATGATTATATAACTCAGATATATATATATATATACACAATGCATATGCTATAGATTAACATACATAATTAGCACTGAACATGTAATATTTGAAATAACTATGATGAAAAATTAGATGACCACTGAAGTATATGAACACACAAGTATACAATGTGATGCACACAATAGTTTCTCTACTTTGGGATGAACTATAGTAAACACTACAATTATTGAAGTAAAAAGTACATATCTGTAAAAGATTGTGGCAAACAATAGTACAGAAATAAACCTTACTTCCAAAATTTTCCTTTGGTAGCAGATTCAAATACCATTGAAATATATGTACTAGATGTTGGTGGGATCACATATGAAAATTGGTTGGTTTTTTGAAGTTCTTCCAAATCAATATCTAACTGGATCAATATGTACATAGACAGCATATTAACAATATGTAGTAGCTGAGTATTTGTGGATCTCACACAAACATTACCAAAGTTAAGAACAGATGGTCCTGAAAGAAAGCAAATTATTAACTTTAATTATTTCAAAGGAGTTCCTTTATTTTCTAGATTTCCAAAATTTATTTTGGTAAATCGAATCATTCAAAAATAACACAGAAAAATATTTTGTTTAACATCAGACATTATTTGCTATACCTTGATGTAGCCGAGCATAGTTTCATGTTTGGAGAGTATTGCTCATGAATATATTCCAGTATGGAAAATTATACAGTAAAATATTAAGCATAGTAAAACTCTTGATATTGTTTTGCAACATTTCACCAATATCTCTACTCCAAAAAATACAATTATTTTATTCATCAATCTATAATTCATAAAATTAGCAACTTATCCATGACTTATTTACTAAAGATTACCCCGCAAATTTTAAATTTTACATTCTCATTTTTATTTTGACACGAGATTTAACTATATAATCAAGTCCAGCTGTTTCTATGTCCTTTTTCTATGTCTGGATTGCTGGGGTTACAAGTATGCACCATCACACCTTGTTTACAATCTGCCCTTTTTAACAACTTAATTTGGTTATAATTGATATAGACTGTATTGAACATATTTACAGATTTTTAAGTGCTGACATATAAGTATACATACACACAAGTATGTATGAAACAATCACAACAGAAAGATTGACTACTGATCACTCTAAAAAAATGGTCAATTTTCTTTCTAAATTTATTTTAATATAAATTACACTTGTTTGTTTTTATTGATTTATCTTTTTCTGTGTGTGTGTGAGAGAGAGAGACAGAGAGAGAGCGAGAGAGAGAGAGAAAGAGAGATTGGGGGTGGCATGTGTGTGTGCCATAGCATGTGTGGAAGTCAAAGAACAACTTGCAGGAATCAGTTCACTTTCTCTAGAAATCAAATTAAGGTCACTAGACATGGCATCAAGCACCTTTACCAGCTAAGCCATCACACTGGTCTCCAATTTCTAGAGTTTTCCATGAACAAAATAATCTAATATGTAACAGTATTCTATGAATTCTTTCACACAGTTAATTTGCTAGATGTTCATCCAAGTTGTTAAATGCGTCAACAGTCCATACTTTTATATTACTAAGTAGTATTTTGTGAAAGTTAATTTTAATTTTCAAATTGGCACAATCTAGAATCACCTGGTGAGTCTCAATGAGGTTTTGTCTAGATTAGATTGCCTTTGAGACCTGTCTATGGGCACTGTAGTGATTGCCTTAATTGATGTGGAACAATCCAGCTTAATATGGGTAGCAACATTCCCCGGGCTTGGGATCCTGGACTTTACAAGAGTGGGGAAAGTAAGTTGAGCATAGAAGCAGGCAGGCATACATTTCACTCTGATCATTACTGTGGATATGATGTGACAACCTGACTCAGGATGACCTTGTCATTACAACTTCATGGCAGTTGTGGACTATAACCTGAAATAGCGAAACAAAGCAAATCTTTTCTCAACTAAGTTGCTTTTTGTCAGGGTATTTTATCATTTAACAAGAGAAATGAAGCTAGAACATAGACCACACAAACACACGCAAGCAAACACACGCACACACACACACACACACACACACACACACACATATATATATATATATATATATATATATATAATGTTTGTTTATTCACCTGTTGATTGACACTTTATTTCCAGTTATTAGCTCTTTTTAAAATATTCTATTTATTATTTTTATTTTATGTGTATGAGTGTATTGCCTGCATGAATGTAAGTACATTAATGTTATGCAATGCTGTCGGAAGTCCAAAGAGGGCAATTGGATTCCCTGGAACTAGAGTTACGGACAGTTGTTAGCTGCCATGTGGGTACTGGGAATCAAACCCGGGTCCTCTGCAAAATCAGCCAGTGTTCCTAACCACTAAGCCATCTCCCCAGCCACAATTATTAGCTATATTTAAAGCTGCAATAAACATGTGATTAATAAGTATTAATTTAACCATACGATGTAATTTCTTTTGAATAAATATGTAGGGGTAAAATGGATGAATTGCATGGTTGGAATATGTTTGAATGTATAAGAAACCAGAAAATTCTTTTAAGATAGTTGTATAACTACACATGCTCACTGGTAGTACACAATATAAGAGTACAATTTCCCTCATGCCTGAGAAAGTAATTTAAAGGTGAGATGCTTCTGTTTCTTTATTTAACATGAGCCATCTACCAAGCTTATAATAATAAGTAATTTTGGTTTTATTTTGTAATTTCTTAAGAATTAGTGGTGTCAATTTTAATATGTGTTTGATGACTAACTGTATATGTCCTTTAATGAACTGTATATTGATGTTTTCAGCCCATTTACTAAAATATATTTTCTGTTTTCTTAAAATTGAGTCTTTAAAGATTTATTTTAGATTGTAGTTGTAAATACTTGATCAGATATACAATGTATAACATTTTCTCTTAATCTATTGAAAGTTTTTATTCTTCTAGTAATATCTATTTGTTTGGCTGTTCTTTTTTTATTGAGCTCTTTAAATTTCATACAACATTTTTCCACTCAAATCCAGACCCCCACCCCTCCATTCCTCCTCCATCCCCCTCCTCACCAAACCCTATGCACTCTGCCATACATGCTGAGTCCTATTCATTCAGGTATTTATAACCAAGTGTCCTTCAGTGTATATGTGTCCGTTGGAGTCTAGTCAGCCCAGCCAGTGGTTGTTCTTATTTTGAGACATGCCTTACTATGTAGCCCTGGATGACCTTCATGAACTCCAGGCTGGCCTGGAACTCACAGAGATCTGACTGCCTCTCCTTCCTGAGTGCTGGGATTAAATATGTGTGCAACCACATCTGGCCTTCCTACAGGTATCATTACAAAAGCAGAAACATTTAACCAATTAACCTGGTTTTTTTTTTCCTTTCTACTTATGCTTTTGGTTTCTGCTAATCCTTTTACATTATGCTTTTGATGCCAAAACTAAGACATTTTACTTTTCCCAAAGTCAAATATATTTTTCCATGTATATTCCTCTATAAACATGTGCTTTATGATACATTTCTCCAGTTTTCTTAATATGAAATTGATATATTCATATATATAGTATGCAACACAATATATATATAGTGAGTATGAATAAGCAAATGTACTTAAATTATCTGTGACTCACATACCCAGTTTTTATTGGGCAAACATTTAGAATATATTCTTACCAATTTTCAATTATCTAGTAATTTATTATTAGTTATATGCATTGTATTACACAGTAGCTCTCCAGGACTTACTGTAAATGAAATTTTGTTTATTTTGACCAACAACTTAATTTTCTTCCCCATCTCAAATGAACCATTTTAACAATCCTTTACTTGTATGACTTCATTGTTTGTTCTTTCAGTTTTGACACATGATCTCCCTATAGCCCCAGCTGGCCTGGAACTCACTATGTAGACAAGGCTGGCCTCAATCTCACAGATATCTGTCTGCCTCTGCCTTTAAGTGTTTTTTAAATTCCACAAAAATACCACGATAACGTGACATTCGCCTTGTTCTGTTGGAGTTATTTTACTAATCATGGTGTCCTACATACGGATTCATTCAAACGACAGAATTTCCTTCTCTTTTTTGACTTAATTATATTCGTTGTGTATCAATACGTATTTTCTTACTTTTCATTGCATGTTGGGAGCCGTCTCAGCATATTGGGAGACTGAGTCTTAACCACTTCTTCACAACTGTTGACAGGCCTCAGCTGGCTATTTTCCATTCTGCCCGCAGCCTTGGCCCGCATACTTTGGCAGGCAAGCAGAGCCCACAACCTTGGCTCATAGCCGGGGCTGGTAGCCCACGGCCTTGCTCTAGTTATTGTAAATAGCCCTGTTTTCTGTTGATCAGTAGACTCTCGCAGGCACGGGATTGTTGGGGGCCTTTAAACTCCTTCGGGGCAGCCCTCAGCCCCATGATCAGTAGACTCTCGCAGGCACGGGATGGAGCCCGCGGCCTTCACCTGCGATCTTGTTTTATTTTCCAATAACTGCCTTGCTCTCAGTGGATTCCTCCCTTGGAGTTCGACCATAAAAATAGACAATAAACCTTTCAAATGCCTCCTTGACAATGGGGCTGATAGAACCATCTTAAAGCAATCTGAGGTTCCTCCACACTGGGAATTAATACCAGAACCCCAAATAATAGGAGTGGGGGGGCCTCCCAAGCATTCATCACTAAAAATTTCTATAAATGGGAGGACCCTGATGGAGAAGTTGGAACCATAAGACCTCTAATTGCAGATATAGCTACAAACCTCCTAGGACGAGATATCTTGGAAGACCTCAATGTAATTCTTACCACTGGGTCTGAAGAGAAATGTCTTAAAATAAATGATCAGATGAGGTCCCTAAAACAACAGGACCCCCAATTGTAAGGGCTGCTGTTGATTACCAACTTATTTAACTGTATGCTTGTGCTTCAATAAACGAGACTTGATCAGAGCACTTTCTTGTCTCCATTTCTCTTGCCCCTTGACTCATCCACATCCCCACTCCCCAATCCAGGTACCCCGTTGCAGACCCCTCAGGCCGGGGCAATTGCATACTTTATCTTTTGACATATTTTTATCCATTTGTACAATGTAGAATGGTTAAATGGTGAAAATTAACATATGCAGAACCACACATATTTTTCAACTTCATGGTAAGAACATTCAAAATATAATCCCCAAAATTTTCGAGAATACAGTGTCTTGTTCATTATAACTATCATGCTGTACAATAAACACTGATGAAAAGGCCAAGTCTATAGAGGAATGTGGTTGCTACTGAGGCCACAGAATAAAGGAGAATTTTCTTGGTCAAATCTAGGACTGTAATCAGTCAACCTGCAACCTGAGGTTAGAACAATCAACAGAACTCACAAGTCACAAGTCATGGCTCTCATAACAACCTCAGTATTATTGTAGGGTAAAAATGAGTCATGGTCTTTCTATCCTATGATGTCCACTTTCAGATTATATTTGTTTAGATTTTGTACATGATTTAAGTGGTAAAGGATCATTTTTG